CACACGACTGGTTTGTCCTGTCATAGTCCTCAGCTGCTCTTCTACACATGCATCCACCGGCTTTGCTAATAACAGACTACTGGCTTAACAGAGTGAAGAATCAGGGTCTGTATCATTACCTGGATGTAAACCAACACAGTCCAGTGTATCTAATACTCATTTTGGGGTTACACCCATTAATAAATCAATCTTCAAGAATGGACAGGAGAAAGAAGGGGCCACATTCAGCAGTGAGGTAAATCCCAGGAAAAACTTCCTAGCTGTAAAACCAGTAGGACAATGGAACAGATGCCTGGAGGGTTGTGAAAGCTTCTTCACTGGAAGTTTGTAAAATCCAGCCTGGGGGGTTGTGGAAACTTCTTCACTGGAAGTTTTCAAAAGGAGGCTGGATAACCCCCTGTCTTGGATGGTTCCGACATAACAAATCCTGCATCTTGGCAGACTAGATGACCCTTGTGGTTCCTTCTAACCTGGTGGCTCTATGATTCTGTATTACATGGCAGGTGAATATTTGGCATAAAACAGGTGTTTGAGTTCCAGGTTTTCTCAAAAACCATTTTATGGCATCCAAATTGTACGAATCTCATGGATAGAATGTGCGTCCCCAAGACAGATGGCCAGAGATCTTTCTGCTCTGAATTTACACTTCCCTTCTCCCTAGGAAACACTGTGATGTGTGATGAAATGTGCGACAAGGAGAAACATGCAGAAGATATGGCAACACATTCCCAACGAAATGCTTCAGCGGAGCTCTCTGGCAGTGAGCTCGTGCTGATGCCTTTGATTAAAATCTTAGTTGCCTATGAATGGAATCTTTAACAACCCTCCAGTTTTGCTCGGTGTTAAATTCTCCAGTAAGAAGTGGAGTTAAACATTTAAGTAGAGAAATCTGAACATAAATATAAAATACTTCTATAAAGTAAGCTTAAACAAATCCAAACCAGGAATTATTCTAACAGGAGTTAGGTGACAGATTGCCTTCTGAGAGACATTTTAAATAGTTCAAACCATCTACAAAGAGGTTCTATAAAAGCCAATTGAATAATTAGGCTGTATTTTACTCAAATAGTAATCCAATTTAGCTGTGACCCAATTACCATTTGACACAGACGAAGGTTCAGAACAGAAGATTTAATTTACTCCTCTGTGATACTGTATGATTGCTCCGTTTGATAGCATTCCCTTCCTCAAGGTCCCTAATGAAAATAAGTGTCTGTAGGCCAGCAGCCCCGTGTTACAGCGGTAGCAAAACAGCAGACATTGTCCCATTAACTTACTGATAACGTTTTATTTAAATACCAAGAGTGCTTTATGTACTTGGAAAAGGGAAGCTAAGCACCATCCGTAGGAGAGGGAATGACTCACCTGTTACTGCTCTTCATTTCAATCACCCCAAATTTCGCTTCTCTCCATTGCACACGGTACTTTTTCACTGTCATCACCAGCCCAGCGCAATTAGAGTTTCTGCAGTCCTGTCACTGGGCATCTATCTGCTTCTTCACGCACCTAAAGTCCTTTGAAAAGCTGGCCCTTGGTCGCTCGCCATTTGGAGCTGGTTTCCTGTTGAAGAGTTTGGTTCTTCGAGCAGACCGCACCTCAGCAGCATCCAGCAGAATGTCACAATCATTACACGGTACCCCGACTGCTGTAGAGAAACGAACTAAAACAATTCCGAGCTTGCGCACTTCAGCAGCGCAGCCAGACTCCAGTGACTCCTGCCAACTCTCTCAGTGCTGCCTGCACCAGGAACCTGGGTGCAGCCAGACCCAGTGTAACTGCAATGTGCAGACAAGGGCTAACCCTGTCCTGTTCAGCACGTGCTCGGAATCCACGTTTGCTTTGGAAATGGCCAGGGCCCAGCGGCTGCTCTAAGTTACAGTGGGGCGAGTGTGAAACCTGCCAGGGAACCGTACTCACTAATAACAGACTGATTCAAGCATTACCATAATGTCACCCTTTAATATCAATTATGGCCTTCATGAGGAATGTGTGTTTACATGACTTGTAATACTTTCCCAGGTGCCTTCTGGCAGATCTCTACCGCTACCTGGAGCCCCATTTCTATGGGAGTTTTAACTAGTGATGGAGCAGGCATAAGTCAGCAGGTGACATAACAATGTTGTTTCCACCATCCCAAGGAGGCAAAGTTTTTCAGGACAGTAGGTGCAGCATGATGTTAGTGCTCAGAACATGGGTGTCTAATCTGTGCACATACCTGGTCGTGTTACAGTACCCACCTCCTCAAAAGTCACACACAATCGCTCATCTGAGGCCCCTGCTCAGCCCAGTCAGAGCCACCATGTGATCCCTGTGCAGCCAATAGGAAGTGATGCAGTTATTGACGGGGTGACATCTGTCAGGAGGAGAAAACCGCCCCAGGCACTGGGAGGGCTTCCATGTGGCTGAAAACATCGTAATACTTGGAAGTGTCAATCATGGCATCAGAATCAGAACTGTAGGACTGGAAGGGACCTCGAGAGGTCATCTAGCCCAGTCCCCTGCACTCAAGGCAGGACTAAGTATTATCTAGACCATCCCTGACAGGTGTTTGTCCAACTTGCTCTTAAAAATCCCCAATGATGGAGATTCCACCACCTCCCGAGGCAATTTATTCCAGTGCTTAACCACCCTGACAGTTAGGAAGCTTTTCCTAATGTCCAACCTAAACCGCCCTCCCTGCAATTTAAGCCCATTGCTTCTTGTCCTATCATCAGAGGTTAAGAAAAACAATTTTTCTCCTGCCTCCTTGTAACAACCTTTTATGTACTTGAAAACTGTTACCATGTCCCCTCTCAGTCTTCTCTTTTCCAGACTAAACCAACCCAGTTTTTTTTCAATCTTCCCTCATAGGTCATGTTTTCTAGGCCTTTAATAATTTTTGTTGCTTTTCTCTGGACTTTCTCCAATTTGTCCACATCCTTCCTGAAATGTGGCACCCAGAACTGGACACAATACTCCAGTTCAGGCCTATTCAGTGCAGAAGAATTATGTCTCATGTCTTGCTTACAACACTCCTGGCTAATACAGCCCAGAATGATGTTTGCTTTTTTTGCAACAGTGTTACACATTTGGTCCACTGTGACCCCCAGATCCCTTTCCACAGTACTCCTTCCTAGACAGTCATTTCCCATTTTGTTTGTGTGTAACTGATTGTTCCTTCCTAAGTGGAGTACGTGGCATTTTTCCTCATTGAATTTTATCTTATTTACTTCAGACCATTTCTCCAGGTTGATGCAATGAAAAATCTCTGTGGTAAATGCTACAACAACATGCATAAGCTCTTGCTGGTCAAGCTGCCTCTTACTGTTTTCAGAAAGGAACAATAGTCAAATGAGGTTCTTGGTGTTTTACTATGTACCTGGTGTTGCAGTGATCAGGGGCAGCCCGGGCAGGGGAAATTTTTCTGCAGGGGTGGCAAGAGACATTTACATCTTCACCCTGGGACAGTCACTGCTCTTGGCACGTCAATGGGTGATGATTTTGTTTATAAAACGTTTTGTCTAGGGGCTAGTTAATGTAAAGCACCCCTCGGTAGCTCTCACAGAAAGGATCTTTCCATAAAGGAGGGCCTGCTTGCTGTGTCATTTTTTTTCTTTAGAATACAATGGGGCTGAGTAACTGCTCCCCTCTTGTGTGAATCAACATTTGTATGACCTGGTCCTTAGCCCCCAAAGCATTAAACATTTGGGACCCAACGAGAAGGTAACATGAATTCTTAGCACCATATAGTGCCCCGCTTGGAATAAGCATTCGTGGGATCTAGTCAGAGCATTTAATAACCTTGAGTAAGTGCAATGACTGGCACCAGATAACTCGTGGGCACGTCTCCACTGGAGTGGGAGATGTCATTGCCACCTCATAGACATGCCAGTACTAGCCCTGCTCAAGCTAGCATGGCTGTGTCTACCCAAGCCGGAAATTGTCCTTCCAGCGCTAGTGTAGCTGGACCCTGCGTGTAAGGCTCTGTGTAAAACACTGGCATCTTTTGGCAGCCCAGGACAGCAGTGAAGGGACACAGACCCATGGAGCAGAATGGCGGGTTGGCGGCATTAAGGGAATTTCTGTCTTAACGGGGCTAGCCTCTTTTCTTGTACCAGCGGCACAGCTGAACAGTATGGCTTGTGTGAGAAGTGGACTTATTGGTTCCCATTTAGACGATTCCAACGTGAAAGCTGCAGGCTGAAGCTTGTCTCACAACAGCGTGCCGGCAAGGCCCCAGGAAGACTGTCCCCAAAGTCTTCTGAAACCTAATCCGTGAAACTGTTCAATTGCAGCGTCACACCATCTGATCTCAAAGAGAAGGCTGCATCTCGCCCATCTGCTTTGGAAAACGAGAGGCGCTAAGGTCCATGGGTTTATTCCCATTAACACTGCCAAGGAACAGTGGCTGTTTTACCGTAACAACCAAGTAAGTGTTGGCTTAAGTTACCATGCCACAGCCATAGGAAGGGAAGACAAACGTTCAATGCGTTCTGCGGACATTCGTTTTCTTGGGTAGGGCACATTTTAATTGGGGATGGGTAGAGGAGAGAAGAAAACAAAGCGAATATTTTCTTGTCAAAAGACCATGAAAATAATGAAATAAGAATTATTAAACCAACAAAGTTTCTTTAATAAATTAATAGCAGCATCACAAAACCCTTGGGGTGAATGACCAGAAAGAAGTCGGGAGGTGACAGCATTCAAGCATTCACAGAAATGTTCCCATCTGCTGGCAGGGAGGGAATGTGGGGGTCATAAGGCTGTCCTCTCGTACGTTCATCTGAACAGGTAATATACATCCAAATGTTTCAGCTAAGTAGCAATGGTCACCGGCGGTACAAGTCTCAGGGTGAAAGGCTCTTTTTTTAAACATTTATAAAAGTAGTGTAGCGTCTATGTTCACTTCTCAGTATTTACATCCAAATACAGGAGGTTCCCTTTGTATCATAACTACTGTACTTGCATGAACAGGATGGAAGGTTCCTAATCAAGAATGATCCCTGCATGTGGCCTCTGCTAAATACTAGGATGCCATGACATATGAACTGTTTATACATGTGCTATAAGCTAGTATCATTCAATTTATTGCTAGTACTTTTAAAGTCTGTGGTTGCTTTTTAAAAAATCTAGAAAGATTTATTTTTGGAAAAGATGTGCTGTGAACTCGCCCTGCAAAAATACTCAACAAAAGGGAAAAAAAAAAAACAGTTCTGATCTCCTCCAGCACTTGCAGTATTTCAAACCTGAGCTAGAGAAAAGGGCAACCACCTGAGGAGGGAAGTGGAGTCATTGTCCAGTCCCTCTTCTACCAGCTACCGTGCCATTGTAGAAATACAAATGGACGCATGAGCGAGCGAGACATACTGACCATTCAGGCCAGTGTCTGTGTAGCTGCCGAATACATGCTGCACGTGTGCATGCTGCCTCCTGCAAAGCATGAGCTAGAGTCACCACCGTGGCACTCTGGTCCGATGCCAGTGTCACTCCGCTGACGGCAGGGGAAGAACTGCAGATTTACAGTGACATGAATGGGCGGAGAATCAGGCCCAGGGACTTCGGTGGGATTGCACCAGAGCCAAACTGGAGTAATGCCGAGGTGGATCAAGCTGTGGAACCCTGTAAGTGCCACAATGCAATAACTGCGGTCAAGTGCAATTCAACAGTGTAACCCCTTCCCTAAAGCAACAGCTCCATTCTGCACTTCCTTTGTGGTTCCAGTTGGTGCCTATGAATATGACAAGCTTACAGTAAACCATTAGTCAAATGCAACTCATCCTTGACATGCGTCAACCTTGCTATTCTCAGGCTTTTCATAAGCAGAGACTGCCAGTCACACCAAAGGCACCTACTTTACAGGGATGTTGTTACGTTTGTTAATTAGTTAATGAAGGTATAAGCCGCTAAAGCAGAGGTGGGCAAACATTTTGGCCCGAGGGCCACTTCTGGGTGGGGAAATGGCATGCAGGGCCATGAATGTAGGGCTGGGGCAGGGGGTTGGGGTGCAGGAGGGGGCCTGCCCTGGCCCCGCACCGCTCCCGGAAGCAGCCGGCACCACGTCCCTGCGGCCCCCGGGGAGGCAGGGGAGAGACAGAGGGCTCCGGGCGCTGACCTTGCCTGTGGGTACCTCCCCTGAAGCTCCCATTGGCTGCGGCCAATTCCCCTTCCCGGCCAATGGGAGCTGCGGGGGGCGGTGCCTGCAGGCGAGAGCAGTGCGCAGAGCCCTCTGCCCCCGATCCCCCAGGGGCCGCAGAGACATGGTGCCAGCCACTTCCGGGAGTGGCGTGGGGTGGTGGCAGTCCTGTGGGCCGGATCCAAAGCCCTGAGGGGCCGGATCCGGCCCATAGTTTGCCCACTCCTGCACTAAAGGCTAGGTCTGGCATGATGCAGAGTTCGGAGCAAGGGGTGGTGCATTAATTGCATCACCCCAAGCAGCGCTGTGCTCCAGGCCCTCACCCGAGTCACAGTTTCTCGCCTACTTCCTCGTAGATCCTGGGGCCAGTCGCTTACTGTTGGTTTATACCAAGTAGGCTGGTGCGCTTAGCCCGTTCCTGGGATGGAACAAGCAATGGCCTTGCTTACTCTGATGCACCTGGGCTCATGGTGCTAGGAAGGTTCTTTTGCCCTTGGGGAGGCTCACAGTCCAAGGCATAAGGAAACAGCAGCCCTCCCAACACAAGCACGAAGTCTGGGTTGCGGTGGCAGGGTGTGCAGAAGAAAGCAATGCTGTCTCCAGAACTGGGACACTGCCAGTCTCAGGCAGCTGAGAAAACTAACGTGAATGAGCAAGGAAATGTGAGACTGGTGAGAGCAAGAAGCTAGGAAAGATGAAACTGAGAGCTCTAATGAAACCAAAGCCCGCTTCCTGAGGTAAAGCAAATGACCTGAGTCCAATGAATCCACTCAAAGCAAACAACCTGACCCAGCAGCAAGCGAAGGACAGTAGGCTGATCTAGCAGCTATAAATAATAGACTTTGCTTGCAACCCTTCCCTGCACTAGTGTGGCGTAAAAGCTCTGAACAGAAGCTAACAGTTGCTTCAGAGCCAGACACTGAGCCAAACTCCGTTCACCTTTCTCATGTGAGCCACCACATTGGAGTCCATCAGACAACATGCATGAGAAAGCAGATCAGAGTCTGGTCCACTGTGAGCTCTGCATCTGGTTATTTTTAGGGTTCAGGGTAGAGCCAGAGACACTCTGCTTACAAAGAAAGGGTCAAGACAGTTTGGTGGTTTTAATGCTGCCTTTCTAAACCAGTAGAAGATTTCAGGATCCCAGGATCAAATGATCCTGAAAGGCCAGGACTGCAGAATCGAAGTGGGAAATCAGAACTGAAAACAGCTCTCCAGCGTGAAAGGTGGGGCATTGCCCCACTATGTCACCCAGCCCGACCCCCATGTGACCAGTCTGGTTAGCCAACTGTTCCATTGCAGTACTGCTATGCTTTAGCTGAGGGATCCCTTCCAGGATGCTGGTAAGATTTGGTGTTGCACTGTTGCATGGCACATAACATGGGCGAGGATTTAAAGTATATATTTACCGTCAACTTAAAAAAGTTTTCCTTGATCTATAACTATGAATGGGCCACTCTGGACTCCAGCAAATGCCACCTGAGTAAGTATTCAGCATTTTTGTTCATACGCTGGAAGAAAATGTCAGCATTTTGTCCATGATGTAAGCAAAATACCAGATATTTTTGATCTAGTAGCAACAGTAAATATAGAACCTTAAACCTCACTGCAGTGTATGTATGATTTAAAGCACTGGGCTGGAAAGATGAATTTTTTAAAAAAAAGCTTTGTTCAGGATGCAGTATTTACATTGTTCTTTGAGTGACACATACGTTTTTACACAGGTATATTTCAGCTGCAGAGCCACGGGTGTGACTCGATTACACACAGCTCACCCTTTCGCTTACAACATTGCAGCTGTTTATCGACGGCTCTGAAGTCCCCGGTTGCATTTCTAAGCCCTCCTCAGTTTCATCCAACTCCATGCTGTTGAGTTCATTGCCATTTCGGTAGCTATTTAAAGTAAGGTCTTTCCTGTACGAAGCTGTGGAAGCGACATTCAGACACTGGTTTTGTCGCAGTGTCGATTTTTTATTGGGCTTGTACTGGCAGCAGATGTAGTTGGCAAAAGCCCTGCGATAGGTTTTATTGAAGAGCGTGTACACCAGGGGGTTAATCCCAGAACAAATGTAACCAACCCAAACAAACACACCCATGAGTTCACCCAGGAGGCTCTCATCACAGGCTTCCTTGCAAAGAACGGACATGATGTTAGTGATGAAAAATGGACACCACAGGATAAGAAACAAAAAGAAGACAATGCCCAGGACCTTGGAGGCTCTGCGCTCGTTGTTGATAGACTGCATGGTCCCTTTCCGAAAGAGCACAGCTTCCTTATTTACGGGAGAGTTCAAGTGGGAGGCCGCCTCGTGGTTCTGGAGCATTGAGATGTTCTCTGTGTTGTTTTCTTTTTTGAGACAGTTCATGCTGCTCCTTCGCTGCTTGGGCACCTCGCCGTACATGAACACCGTCGCTTGCTTCTGCAGCACCTGGACCGTCAGGCAGTATGAGATCACCATGATGATGAGCGGGATAAAGAATGCCACAAAGGACCCAATAAGGACAAAGTTCTCATCATTCAGAACGCAGCTCCCATTCACAAACACCCTGGAGTCATCCTGCAATCCTATGACTGGGATGGGCAGGGATATCCCTAGAAAAGAGAGAATGAAAGCAGACTGTTACTAAAGCATACAAGGACTCCGGAGAGCGTGTAAATGATTCGTGTCTCACATACACCGCATTTCATCCAGTGCCTAGAGCTGTTCCAAAGAGAAGTCAGGTTTCAGAGTAGCAGCCGTGTTAGTCTGTATTCGCAAAAAGAAAAGGAGTACTTGTGGCACCTTAGAGACTAACCAATTTATTTGAGCATGAGCTTTCGTGAGCTACAGCTCACTTCAGTATCCCCAGGAGGAACAAGAACACCTGTTGTAACGCTCATGCCCACTGGGTGGCAGCACGGCCCCAGTGACAAAGACCTGCGTCTTGGCACATGGTGCAGGCATATTGGACTCCACGCCGATGCCCTGCAACGAATCACCTCCCCAGGGTTTCAGTGTAACTCCGTCCCCGGGCTCTTATTTCTCACGTTAATTCTGACCCGCAGACGCTGTCGTGGCTGTAGACAAGGTGGCTATTTACGACACCAATGAGCTTTGCTAATGCGGGCTGGCACCCAGGTTTGGGGAAGACGTTGCGATCACAAGTGTAGGGCAGACACTCTGAATTTCTGAGGCACAGCCGGCAGGCCTGTGTGGCCAAACCGTGAACCAACAGTGCAATGACTGTGAGAGAAAACCAGCCAGTTCTTCCTAGCACTCTGGGGGAAGCACATGCTATTTTCTGGTCTCATCCTGGAAGGAGCTGACCTCAGTGGTAGCTGTGGGTGCTCAGCACCTCTCAGCATCAAGCTTCTTGTTGATATGTGTTAGGGGAGGGCAGGGGGTCTCTGTAAGCTGCACGCCTGTGTCTCTCTGGGCTATCTGCAGCGTATGCCTGGCAGTCACTCCACAGGCAGTCTTGTCCGAGGCCTGAGAGTGAAGCAATTGCGAAGTCTAGCAAGGAGGTATGCGTCAAATAGTGTCTGTCTGATTCCTGTCCGTGGGCCCAGAATGCAACAGGCTACTGCTGTGTACAGGCTAACACGGGAGGTACGCATGGTAAGAACAGGAAGGGCGGAGGTAACCGCAGCCTCCTGGTGCCAGCGAAGGGGGGAAGGAGAGGGGCGGTTGTGAATGGGCCAGTCTCTGAGCTGAAGTCAGAGGCACACAACTAAAGCTTTTGGCTTCATTCACGTTAAATGAATAAATTAAATTTTACTAGAGTGCATCTTCCGACTTCCCCAACTACTGGGTCTGCTGACAAAATTACAGGAATCCCCCTAATTGCCAAGGGGGTTTCCCTTGCTCTCCACACCCATCAATGATTTCGATTTTGATAATGGCATAGAGAGTACACTTATAAAGTGCGCAGCCGATACCAAGCAGGGAGGGGTTGCAAGTGCTGAATAATCTCAGGGAACACTGAAAAGATCAATAATTGATGAAATATGTGCTGAAGCCTTCTGCTCGTGGCTGCTAAGCCACACCCTGCTGCTCCTAGTTAAGTGTTTAGATCACCAGCAAGCTCACCCTAGGTTTATACTGTACAGTATCATCTTACTGGGTGATTATAATCAAGGGGGGGAACACTTTGCAATACCAAGACCTTTGTATACAAATTACATATCCTTTGTCTTGTGTAAAAAGAAAAGGAGGACTTGTGGCACCTTAGAGACTAACCCATTTATTTGAGCATGAGCTTTCATGAGCTACATGCATCCGATGAAGTGAGCTGTAGCTCACGAAAGCTCATGCTCAAATAAATGGGTTAGTCTCTAAGGTGCCACAAGTCCTCCTTTTCTTTTTGCGAATACAGACTAACACGGCTGTTACTCTGAAATTTGTCTTGTGTGTGTCATGTTTAGAAGTCCAAAATCTTTATCTAAAAGCAGAAAGCTAAATGTGCTATTAAGCATGGTGGTGTTTTCCTGCCTTTGCTAAGTGACTTCCAGGATCTCGAAGAAGACATCTGAGAACTGTGAGGGAATTTCTGCTGAAAAGCAACAACACCTATAAATGCTTCACATACCTAACGCTTGTTCTTCATTGTCCTGAGCTACATCTCCATGATCCAGCGCGCTCTCTCTCTCTCTCTCTCTCTCTCTCTCTCTCTCTGCAGACTGCCAAAGTGCACATCCAGGCTCTCATCATCTCATGTCTTCACCAATTTAATTGCCTCCTCTCTCACCTTAACTATGAAAACCTTAATCCTCTCAAGTCCATTTAACACCCTGCTACTAAAAAACTTCTTAGCTTCTTGGTTCAGTTGCTTAACAATTACTGGACAGCCCTTCCACACGTGAGTAATCCAAATGAAATCAATGGAGTTATATCGGAATAAAACTGGGCTAGTGCATGTCCGAATAGATTTTTTGCTACAAGTTGTTAGTAAAAAACAAGCCCACTGTATTCAGAAAATAACAAGGGGCCAAATTCAAGCATGGTGCAACTTCACCGAGTTCAATGGAGTTCCACCAGGTTTGGATTTAGCCCACAGTGATTAGATGAACATTCAGGGTGTCATTATAAATAGCACATAAATAGGCAATGCTTTTGTATATTATGGAACCCAAGTCCCTTCTCAGTCACACTGCCATGAATCAAGAATATATTTATATCCTGTATTTATATTTTAAGTCAAAGCAGATAGCTCTGTGGAAAAATAACAACTGCAGTCCTATTTTCATATCGATAACTGCAAGTGAAAAATGTTTGTGAAAAAAGTTTTAAAGAATTCTTCTTGGGAAATGCTGGTCTCCTGAAAACTGATTGTTTGGCAAACAGGATGCATCAGGCAGACCTGTCGCACTTCTAAAAACACTGTTTGTAACTTTCACATCTAAGAAAATTAACTGAAACATACCTAAATTCTGATGGCTGACGTGTATATTCTACTCTGGATGCATCTGATCGGAGTCCTATTTCTTAACAAAAGGTGAATATTTAATTTTGTGATGCAGCAAAACCCGTTGTTGCAGGAACCATTTGGCAGCAGGGAAAGGAAAAATCTCTGTTCTGAGAAGGGGAAAGGAAATGACTTAGGAACTGGTGTCAGTGTCACACTTGATTTCAGAGCTTGAGATGTCCAGGGTCAGAAGTGAGTCAGATTTTAAAGCCAGAAGGGACCATTATCTCATCTAGTCTGACCACCTGTGTAACAAAGGCCATTAAATGTCACCTGCTTACCCCTGTATTGAGCTCAGTGTCTGATTAAAACATGTCTTCCAGAAAGGGAGCCTGTCTTCATCTGAAAGTATCAAGAGATGGAGAGGCCACCACTTCCCTGGGGAGTTTGTTCCAGTGGTTAATCACCACCACCATTGTTAAACATTTGTTCCCAGTTTGTAATTTGAAATTCTCTGGCTTCAGCTTCCAGCCACATGTTCGTGTTCTGCCTTTTTCTGCTAGACTAAAGAGCCCTTTAGTACCCGGCATCTTCTCCCCAGGAAGATACCGACACACTTTACATCACTTCTCAGTCTTCCTTTCGATAGGTTAATCAGATTAAGCTCTTTAAGTCTCTCACTGTCAGGTATCTTCTCCAGCCCTCGAATCACTTTTGTGATTCTTTTCTGCTCCCTCTTCAGTTTTTCAACATCCTTTTTCAGATGTGGGCACCGGACCTGGACTCAGTGTTCCAGGATCGGTCTCACCAGTGCCGTGAACAGAGGTAAAATCACCTCCCTGCTGTGACTCCCTATTCCCCTCTGTATACAACCCACCCCCAGCATCACCCTGGGAACTCATGTTCAGTCCACTATGACCCCATCATCCATCCCAGAGTCCCTGCTGTCCCGGATACAGTCCCTCATTCCGAGGGATGGCCTGAGTTCTTTGTTCCTAGATGTAGAACTTTGCACGGGGCTATATTAAAACACACTGTGTATGAGTGGGCCCCGCTTGCCAAGCGATCCAGATTGCTCTGACTGACTGCCCTGTCCTCATCATTGTTTACCACAACTCCGCCAGTTTCTGTTTCATCTGAACATTTTATTTCATATTTCATTCCAGATTACTGCTGAAAATGTTGAATAGCGTCAGGCCTAGTACTGATCCCTGCAGAACCCCACTAGAAACACCCCTATTTGAGGATGATTCCTCATGGACGACAACTTTTTGAAATCTGTCCGTTAGCCGGTTCTTAATCCATTTCACATGCGCTCTCTTGATACTCCGCGGTGGTCAGAGATGGCGGATGATTCAGAAAGCTTGGGATTATGACAGATTCCAATTTCTAGGAGGGCACTTATTCATTGACCTTGAAGAAGAAAGGTTAGAAAAGCGCAATGAACACGACAACTGCAGCATGGAGAACATCAGAGCTTTCCAAAGACTGACAGCAAAGAGATCTTTAGAAGTTGACTAAAATATGCAAATATTTCCGCATAAATTCCTTGCTTTAATCAAACCTTGCTGTCCTGGTTTCGAGGTTTTGCAGGGGTGCTCCTCTCTCCCCGTCTGTCTCAAGCCCCAGTACTGCAGCACTTTTACTGTGTAGCAGAGGCAGATCCTTTGACTCACGGATGCTGTGGATGCGAGTGGGCAGGAGAACGCTCGCCATCGGATATGGGAGTGCACTTGGCTAGTCTCTAGGAGTGTGTTACAGAATGACAGGACAGCAGGTTTCTATTAGGGAGTGGGTGCAACCGTTCAGTTAAGATAAGAAACACCCTGTATCCCAAACATTGCCCCATTATTCACAGATAACCTCTTTCGGGCTGTAAGAGTCTTCATCCCCAAACAGTCCTCCCTCCAGCCTGTGGTACCATCTGAGCTACTCGGTTGTCTCCTTGGGAGAAACATCCAGCTCCTGGATGGTGGTTAGACCAGCTAGCCCTGCATTGTCAGGCACAATTCTGATCTCATTCAGTCTTTGTGTACCAGTGCTTGACTGGAGCTATTCCTTATTCACAACCCAAGGACTGAGATCAGGATGAAGGCCAGAGGCGTATTTTCGAGGGCACCTAGATGGGCCACTCTTGTAACGCCTGTTCTGTAGCACAGTCAGGGGCCACCTCTAAATCTGCTCCTTACTCAGGACTCACCTTCCGGG